GTTCCTAAATAACTGTATATTGCTGGGGCTAGTTTGCTACTTTATGGTGCCACAAATTGGCTGAACAAATGGCGTTGTTATTGTTTATGGCACAATTAACAAGCTAATTGGACCATAAAGGCAATGTATGCCAGGAGCCTGAGATGTCAACTTTGTTCTGTGATGTCAGTACAGCTCTAGATAACATTTAATAGGAGCCAGTTTGCCTGTTGCAATTTGGCATACTTGGGCTTTCTTTCAGCTTTCAGAGGTTCCCATTTTTTAAATATATTCTTTTAATCCCAGACATAACTTCAGGGCTGCTAGCTTACTAGTTAGATGTTTCGAAACTGTTCTTTTTAATCAGAACGCTCATTTTAAACGGCTTAGTAGGACCACCTGCCCCAGTCCTTCAAGCAGGGAGAAAAAGATGGAAACCATTGAGAGAGACTATTAATAGAGGAAGGAGTTACAGCAATATGCAGAGATGGTAGGAAGAAAAAGAGAGAAAACAGTAACGAGTGGAGGGGGGAAAAGTAAGAAAAAGATAAAAGGTAAGGGAACATATAATGAGGGAAAAATTAAAGCAGCCATAAAATGTAGGAGGAGGGAAGATGAGTAGAATACACAAAAGGCATTTAAATGTTAAACTAGAAACAGAGACAGAGGAAAGAACGGGAGGGAAAAACAGAAGAGACAAAAAGTGGAGAAAAAATGGTAACTGGAAAACCAAGAGATGGAAAAGTAAAATGGGGGAGGAAAAATGGCGTCATACAACTAATATTTTTCAGACACATTTATTATTTCTATATGATGTTTCCCTTTTATAGTGTAGTTCTCTGAAAAATTTGCAAAAACTATTAATCAAAAGGGTAGAATAATGTTGCTGATTGAACTTAGACTGCTTCTTCGTGAATGTGTAACTAGATTAAGGGATCAGAGATGTTTTATTCCATACACCAGAGCCAGAAAATCACTTGTATGATATTAACTTTTAATTGGTTTTAAATTTGCCACCTTTTAAATCTATTGAAAGTTTCGGACTGGAGAAAGTGTGTTGCTGTTAGAGACTGAAAGAGCTCAGTCCACTTAAATTATCAGAAAGACAATCAAGAATGACTTCATTAAGATTCATAAGTATTCTGCACCAGGAAAGGATATCAAGCCTCTAGACTAACAGAAAAAGGCATAACAGGAACAAACAGCTAGAAGCAGAAGCCAGACAAATTCAAATAAGGAAGCACACATTTTTAGCAGTGAACAAATTACTGAGGGAAGTGGTAGATTCTTCTGAAATGGAGAGTGTAGGATCATCTACACATGCATTTGATCTGGGATCAGTTTACTCGCAAGTAAACTATTCATGAGTAAATGCTTCCAGGGAGGCAGCTACACATCCAGGGAAGCGGGAGCACACTTGCTGCTAATGGCAGCAAATTGCTTTTGCTTTCTGGGGCCCTGGAATGGGCCCCTGCTGTCACCAAGGGAAGCTCTAGGCTTCTCCTGGGTAGTAGGTCAGGGGCTGGCAAGGAGCACCAGACCAGGAGACAGCTGTCTCCTGGTCAGGGCTGGGACATTGCACCCTGCCCCCAGGGGCTGCCTTCTGGTAGCAGGGAGCTCCTGACCCTGGCTTCCCAATCAGGAAGCCAGGGAGCCTGTTCCCTGCCCAGCTCCATGAGTGTGGAGCTGGGCAGGGAACAGGCTGGGGAGCTTGTTCCCCACTCAGCTCTGTGAGCGCAGAGCTCAGCATGGAACAAGCTTCCCAGCCTGTTCCATGCCGAGCTCTATGCTCATGAAGCAGGCCAGGGAATAGGCTCCTGGCCCTCACCAGCAGGGAGCTTCCAGCACCAGCTTCACACCATGGTGCTGGCGCTGGGAGACCCTTATCTCCCAATGCCAGCTCTGCAATCACAGAGGATCTCCCAGCCCCTGCTCTCCAATCACGATCTTGGAGCAGGGTGCTTGGAGCTCCCTGCTGCTAGGGCAGGGGGACATGCCTGGGGTCTGATGGCAGAGCCCACCCTGTGAGCAGGCAGCTCCTGGGGGCAGGGAGCAATCTCCCACGTCCTGGTGGCTGGCTGACCAGGAGCAGATTTGCTCCCTGTCAGGCATCTAGACGAGCACTACTGTGCTTACTAATTGAAAGTAAATTTGTTACTTGCATTTGCAAGTACCAAACTTGTGATTATTGAAATTTACTGCATAGTAAGCATGTGCACTTGTAGATGCATGTGCCTACTGTGCAGGAAACTACTACACAGTTAAATGTCTTGTGTAGACACACCCTCTGTGTTTAACATGTGCACAAATCCTTATTGAAAACAGTGAGAAGTTGAGGCAGAGTGACACCTTAGAAATTAACTGGTTCAGAGATGATGACCTTTCGTAGACAACAACCTACTTTGTCAGATGCAATTTAATTTATATGAAATTAATAGGGTTTTCTAGAAATTATATGGAAATCCTGTAGAGTTTTCTTTCTCAATTTTTTTTTTTTAATCATTCCTCATAATACCACACGGAATATTATTATGTTAAGCTTTATAGGTTTGTTCAAAAACAAGTAGAAATGTTATTATTCTCTATTACAGTCTATGGAAGTTTGCATAAAAGAATTAGATTTATAAATAATAAAGCTACAAACATATAAATACTATATTATGTGGAGGGTATATAGCAGAATGGAATTTTACTTTAATGACCATCATATACACAAATGTGGCTTGATTCAAATGTTCACAGACAAAGATAATTAATCATTCTTATAAGCAACAAATTACTCAAAAGAGTAGGGTTCAGACCTGAGGGCCTACAGCAAACTTGAATATGTCCTAACTCTTAATCAGAGTGATCTCCAAGGATCCTAGTTTTCTCTGTTTAAAAATCACAAATTCTTTGATTAAAAACCCCAAAATCTGTGATTAAAATGTAACACCACTGTATATATAGGTATCCATTGAACACAATGTTTTATTGATATATTTACCATTCAAAATATGGTGTAAAACATTTGGAAGCCTACCAGTGCCTCAATCACTATAATAATATAAATTCCAAATACTATAAATTTTAGTATTTCATTTGGGGGTTTTTTATCATGGAAAATCAGAGCTTCCCCTGCCCCTTTACTCATGAGGACACGGATCCAGGCCCCTCACTCCCAAGCCACTGCCCCCCAAGCCCTGCTGGTGCTCTTCACTCCCCACCCACAGCTCCCTCACCCCTGCTGGTGCCCCTCACTTCCTACCCACAGCCTCCCCACTTCAGCCAGCCTGGGCAGAGGGGGCCCCCAGCTGCCAGTGCTATGGGGCCAGGAACCTGGCTCCACAGCCCTCTGCCCCTCGCAGCAGCATCCGAGTCCTGGTTGCCACCCATAGGAGGCAGTGGCTCTGTGGCAGAGCAGAGTGCAGCTCCTCCCCTGGGTTCTCCTCCCCTATGGGCAGCATAGCTGGAGCAAAGCCCATGGTGGTGGGGGCAGGTGCAGGCTGCTCACTGCCAACTCCCTGCCATGCTGCCCTCCCCTGGGCCTCTGTGGCCCAGTGGTTGGGACCCAGTGCAGCAAGGCAGAGCAGAGCCAGGCAGGGAGGCTCGTTGCTGCTGCTGGGGGCTCCACACGACCATGGTGAGGCGTCACCTGCCTGCCTGGCACCAGCAAGGGGTACAACTCCATGCCACCACTCCTGCTGCTGCATGGGCAGGGGGCACTTTGCCAGGGCAAGATGAGGCGTGCAAAGGCAAAGAGCTTCCCCACCTGGCCCCACTCTGCATTGGGCTGTGGAGGCCCCAGGGGGAAGGCAGCAGAGCAGGGAGCCCGTAGCAGGCAGCCTGGCCCCGCCCTGTTTAGAAATCTGGGGGGCACATGCCCCCTCTGTCCCCCTGGGTGCGCATGCAGTGGTGTGGAGCCAGTTCCTCCATCCCCCAGATGAGCCGCCCATGGCTCCGTCCTGCTCCCCACCAGGGCCCTGTGGCCACATATTGCAGCCACATATTGTGGCCCCAGGCCCCAAACCCCACACACCACCGTGGCTGGGCATCAGCCGCAGCTCCAGCCCCAGCCCTGCCCAACTCTCACCCTCCCTCCCTCTGTATGGGGGCCCCAATCTCCCCTTCCTCCCTACCAGACTTTCCTGCGGAAGCTGCTCTCCAGGCTGCCTGGTCGCCAGGCTGCCTGGTGCATGTGTGAGCGTGCATGTGCACATGGTGCCCCCTGCCTCTCCTGCTCTGTCCAGCCTCCACTTTTCTTGGTTAAAGGGGAAATCAGTATTTTTTTCTGTTTTTCCGCGGGAAACAGAAAACCCAGATCCCTGGTGAGAGCTAAATAACATAATGTTCCATGCTTAAGCCACAAAGCCATATTTTCATAATCAAATACATATGTGTGCTATACTTTGTCTTGCTGCATGAACACATAAGCTGAATATTAACTCTTCTTCTGTGTAAATTAGATCAATTATTTATTCTTATTTCTCACAAGTTCAGGTTGCCTTGAACTTGTGTGCTGTTTATTTCTGAATTAAACATTTTTACAGTCAGTGAGATACATAAGGTATAAAGAATTGTGTATCATTTCATACATATTGTATGATAATATAATGAAAAATGATTGTAATGCATGTACACAGTGGGTAGAGTTAAGCTTGGTACTGGAGCCTTAACTTTGAATTCAGTGACTTCTTTGTAATTAAAATCTCATCTGAAACATTTATGTAGCTTTTGCATATATTGTATCTTCTTGTTGCTGTGCAGAAGCCCTAGGCATTAGAAATGCTCTGATTATAAATAAGGTGCATGTTTATTCAGATGTCAAGCTAGAGAACTCTTTTATCTGCTGTGTACTAATTTGAAACAGCTGTCTAGTCAGCTTGTAGATTAAACTGATATAATACTTGGTAACATTTCTAACCAGGAGAAGTCTAGTTACCCTGCTTTCAGTCATTAAATGCACCCCATTGTTAGAAAGAAAATTTGTATATCCACTATCATAATAAAAATTGTCCTTTTAATTTTTTTCTATAAATTAGGTACTGGAGGTACAGTGAAGAAGTGAGCTCCATGGACCCAGGTTATCCCAAACCAATCACAATCTGGAAAGGTATCCCAGAATCTCCTCAGGGAGCCTTTGTCCATAAAGAAAATGGTATGCAAATACTTTCTTGTTTTAGTCACATTCTACTGTCCGTTTAGAGGTATAGAGGCAAAGGAGTTTTTTGCTACAGGTCTAGAGGCATGAGTTTAAGAGTCAGCTTAACTCTATACGTTACCCTGTAAACTGAAGATTCAGTTAGCCAGTTAGATCTGAGGTAGCCACATGTGCTATTGGCTACTGGAATTGTTATGCCTTAACTAAGCTAGCCTAATGGGCTACTAGGCCCAGGACAACTTTTAACCTTGACCTAATGTTTCTTAACATGCATAGGTGTGACTGGCTAATTAGGGTGGTGGATTTGCTGAACATGTTTTTTTACCCAGAGGAAATATTTCATACTGTGGAACTCCTCTCTCCTTAAACTCTGTTATATGGTTGTTTGATTGTTCTGTTTACAATTACAATGAAAGGAAGAGAGAGAGTTTTAATCTTCATATAATACATTTTCATTTGTGGTTGGGCATCTCGTTCATTTTGCTGCTTATTTTTGTTCTCTTCTTGATGAGAGTGTTTCATAAAACAGGCAATGTTGTTAGTCACTGATGCAGTTCATCCAACATAAAAGCTATTACTTTCATTTTGGAGTACTCTGGAGCAGAAGCACGCTCTTCTATTATAAGACTGGAAGTATCCCATACTATATAATGCATAGGTACAATGCACAGGGACCATGTATCTCAGCATGCAGTGCTATTACCTGGGCCAAGATGGAGCATCATATGGGGCAACCTAGTATCTCCAAAGGTTTCTCCTCCAACTGAATGAGAGCAGCTAAAATCTGTTCCATTTTATGCAAATTAAGTGCTACCCTTGGTCTACTGGCAATTTGCCAGTGCAACCGTAAATTAGACAAAGTTTAGATGCTTCTGATGTAAACAAAAGTATTGCTTATGCTCAGTGCTCATTGATGGGGATAAGTTTCTGATTTAATTGTTTATGATTGAAGGATTCCCCCCTCCAACCTACACATCATTCTTGCAATCTTGTTTTAATTTCCCTTTAATAGATAGTTTACTTTTATTGTTTCGGTCATTTTTTCCTCAAACTTGTTTTACTAATTTGCTTTGGAAACAGTTTTCTCCAAAATATACTTTATCACTTCCTTGATTTGTCTCTGTTTCACCCACCAGCAAAAACCCTTCTCTGATTCTGGCTAGTGTGTTCTTTTAAAACAAGAAAAGTAGATTAAGTAAGATGCTGTTTTGCATATAAGTATCACACATGAGCTGACCTTCTGTGTATATATATACATGTATACACACACATATACATATATAAATTTTTTCATATACACAAATATACACAGTGGGCATGTCTACACAAGACACTACATTACTATAACAACGAGCTACAGTGACATAGCATCAGCGGGCACAAACTGTAACGCCGATGCTATATGGCTGTAGCGATGAGCTACCTCGCTTTAGTGCATTGCTATAGCAATGTAGCTGCTAAAAATAACTGCGCCGCTGGAATGGCACAGTAACTGATACTGTGCCATCATTTACTTCCTAAAGCAAGCATTAAATGATGGCGCAGTAACAACTGCGCCATGAGGGGCACATGTAGACATGCCCTTTGGGTTTAATATTTTCTCCCCTTGACACATTACCATTTAGTTGTGCTTCTTAACAGTACCTTCACATTCAAACAGATGAATCTCCAATGCTGCAGAGACAGGTCATGCAAGGAAGAATTGGTTCCAGTTAACCCAGTTGATTTTAAAATGTATATTTTACATTTGATTTTAAAATGTATATTTTAAAATATTTACCCTTTTAGTTTCATATTAAAAACAAGGTGAGGTTTGCCCATAGGCAAAAGATAGATGGGGCTAAACTTAATCCTCCAAAAAGTTAGTTGGAATCACGTTAAGAAAGATCTTGGACACCTGGCAACTCCAGATACTTTCTTGGTATAAGCCCACCATTTAGAAAGCTTTAGAAAGCTTAAGCAGGTAGTAGTATGACAAAAAGCTGGAGATAGGCATGATTAAGTAATTAATGCTGGAGACATGAGAACTGTAAATGCTGGATTTTTTTTAGAGGTACATGTTTGTTTTTCTGTTAAATTCTAGTAACCACCTTGAACAAAGAAATAACTTTGTCTTTCCTATACAGTAATGGATTGTCTTAACTTGTAACTAAGTCATCTTCATCCCCTTTATAAGAATCTCTTTTCAGACTTTAAAAATCTCTAACAAATAGAGATTAGGATGACACCTAATCCATGGGATAGATTATCCTGAAGATGCCTTTTGCTAGATCTTCCTCCTTCTTTGGAAGACTGTAGTGCTGGTCACTGCTGAGACATGATTAGATAGACTTTGTCTGATGCAGAAATATATTTGGTTAGGAAATAGTCTGCCCATCCTGCAAGAATTTCCAAGCTTTCAAAACAATGTTCCCAGCCTGAATTGGGAAGAGAGAAACATTTTTTAAAATCAAAAATGTGAAAAAATGTCAGATTTGGTTAATCAAAGTGTACCATTTTGATAATATTTATAAGTATTATTCCATTTAATATTTTTACTACACTTACATTTCTAATTGAAAAGTCATTTTGAACCCAAAATAGCCCTTTTTGTATCAATAATGTTGAAATGGGAGGTTTAAACAGTTTTTAATTTTTTTTTCAATTTATTGAAATTGATCTTCTCTAGCAGCTAGTTTCTGTTTTAACGAATCTGCATTTTCTGAAGCAAAAAAATTTTGGTTGAAAAATTCCTAACCAGCTACATATACTATATGTTCCTCTGATTTTGTCCCCTGTTCATTTGATAATGCAGTCTGAAATGCCTGTAATTATCAGTATCCTTTCTATTCTCTAGAGTTAGATTTTTATTGACATTACTGTGCTTTCTTAATAAAGCATTATTATGTTGACGAAATTAATGTGATTCCCTGCTAAAAATAATGACATTAAAAACTGCAACTTTGCATTTGTTAATGAGCAAATCTATTGGCTTCTAAGTTTAAACTACAGATTCCTTTAAGATATTTTAATGCATTGAAAACCTCAACTTTTGAACTAAATGTTGATGGCATAGTAATAATTATTGTGCTCTTTTATGCTGTATTCTATTAGTAGGGAAGGCATTTCATGACCAAATATCCTAACAGCAGTTTTGATATAGTTCACTACAATTCTTTTTATCTAGCCAGTCATATACATTTCAAGCTAAAGCTACAGATATGTAGACATAGACACTCACAAGGTTTTTAATATTAAAACTGCAAGAGACCAGATACAATGTATAAAAATATCTACTCAACTGTCTGGAAGATAATTAGAATTACATAAATAACTGCTGCAAAAAGATGTTTTAAAAAAATCCTCACTTTATAAAATGAATAACAGTAGTGGACAAAGACTTTATACAAAAAGTTTTAAGCTGGAAAAGTAATATTCTAAAAAAAATCCTCTTCCATATGTCTACAAAAAGCCAGCTTTTGCTGTCCTATGTAATTATTATTAATTTAAACATGTAGGGCTCCTCTACCCATGCAGGTAAAGGCACAGTGGGATCTAATGCATGATCCACACATTTGCATCTCCTGCTTTGTCACACATGCATGGCAGGAGGTGTGATTGTGGGACCGTGCATTAGATCCATTGTGCATTATTGCTGGGAGGGGGAGAGTGAAACCCATAGGGCTGGGAGATTGCAGCTGATGCAGTCTCCCTTTCTTTGGGGTTTCATGCACCCTCAAAGCTGGCAGATCATAGTGATCTCCCAGCCCTGGGGGTTTCATGCACTCCTCAGGCTCAGAGATTGTGGCATCCATGTTTCCATGCACCCTCAGGGCTGGGAAATCACAGCAGTGCCCCACAGCTGCCATGACCCAGCTGGGCACTGTACTGGAAGGCATGCAATGGGGGCTCAGCATCTGCAGCTGCAGGACACTGAGTCCCAGAAGCTGTAGGTTGCTGCCAGAACCCAGAGTCACCACCTGCTGGAGCTGAGAGTCTAAGTCACCACAGTTACAGGACTTTCAGCCCTGATTGGGCATGGTGCACCTCTGTGGCTGAGAGTCCCATCAGCTGATGGGCCTCCCACCCACTGGGGAGACTCTGATACATGTGCAAGTTATAGCTGCTTGGAGTTTTTTATGGCCTGATAGGTACTTTGCTTGTGTAGCTGGTTGCAAGATAATTGTGCAGTACCCTTCATGCGAAGAGGGGGCCTTAATTGCTATTAATCTGACTTCCCAGAAAGCATTTTCAAAACGAAAAATTCTGTCCTATCCATCTTATTTTTCCTAGTGACCTTTAGCTCTGTAGGAAATAACTTGAGACCTATAAAGATAAGGGCATTTCCTGCTGTTTGCATTCAGTTCACAAACAGTAGGAAGACATTCTTCCTTCTTGAAGGTTTGTTTCATGCCAGATCAATACCATTTTTCAAATAGGATAATAAAATGCTGTAGGTTTTTGGCAGGGAGTCTGCTTTTCTTCATTTAAGCATGTTTCATAATCGTATTGGATTGCATCTGAATGATCAAATACCAGTTCCCCACAGAAAATTTGAAGCTAGGTACACCTGTTTTCTCTTGGCAACACTGTTGTTAGTTCACGTAGTGCTTCTTGTTTCCAAAGTACATCAGTAAGCTGAAGTGGAATTGAAGGTGGTCAGTTCCCATTTCAAACTAGGCTGGCACATTGTTGAAATTTGTTTGAATGGACCGTCTATAAAGAGAGGGACTGGAACTTCTTAAAGTTTTGGGACTCAGCCCTGGTATAACCTTGATTAAATGTTCAATTAGTAGGAAACATTTGTTCCTGCAGTTGTTCAAAATGGTTTCTCTGGGATTCCTTCCTCAGTATGTCAACAGATAAAAGACTTGATCCCAGCTTAATCAAATAAGAACCGTGAAATCTAAGAATTTTTCAAAAAATGAATGAAGTTCTTCCTTGAACACTAATCTGGACAAGAGGTTTCTTAGGAGCCATATACCTATTGCTAAGAACAAAAAGCTCCTGATCCTAAAATATAGTTCACTAATCCATGTATCTTTATTTTCTAGATTCTGAGGCTATAAAATAATTCAGTGGCATTTGCTCATACTAAACAGCTTAACTTCAGCCTTTGTAAGTTATTGATATGACCCTGAATAATTGCACTTTTGTTTCCCAGGCTTCACATATTTCTACAAAGGAAAGGAGTACTGGAAATTCAATAACCAGATGCTCAGGGTGGAACCTGGATATCCCAGATCCATCCTCAAGGATTTTATGGGTTGTGATGGCCCAACAGACCGGGACAGAGACCGATACAGCCCTCAAGATGACGTTGACATTGTCATCAAACTGGACAACACAGCCAGCACTGTGAAAGCCATAGCCATTGTCATTCCCTGCATCCTGGCCTTGTGCCTCCTTGTCTTGGTTTACACTGTGTTCCAGTTCAAGAGGAAAGGAACACCCCGCCACATACTGTACTGCAAACGCTCTATGCAAGAGTGGGTGTGATGTAGGGTTTTTTCTTTCTCCCAGGAGTTTGTGGTAACTTGAGGTTCAACACAAGAGCTGTTAAGCAGTTTCCTAGCTAGGAGTGGGCATCTGTCAGCCTGAATCAAGGCTGATCTTTAAAACCCAGGGGGTTGCCTGTCCTGCACATGAGTGGGGATTCACTCAACTAGGAAGCTTCCATGATACACAGTATCTGCCGTTTCTTCAGTCCTTTGTCTTTCTTTGTCATTCGATTCTAGGCCTTTCCTCTGCACGCTCAATACCCGATAAACTATCAGGATTAACTAATGAAGAGGAAAAAAAAAAGGAAAGAAAATTCTCTAATGTTTCTACTGTTTTCCCCACACAGCCTGTTCCCCTTTGAAAAGATTTTTGCTGAAAGTAATTTTTTTTTAAATATAACAACACAACAACCCATAATTGAACTTTCAGGAAAGTGTGAAGACCCAAAACAGCTTTGTCTCCAAAGAGGATTGCTTTCTGTCTGCTAGGGATATAGTCCTACACTCCTACACACAATTTTTGTCAAGTGGGAGACCTGGATGACACGCAGGACTTCAGACTGTTTGGACAGCCATTTTCCAACAAACAAGGGGCCAAAATATCTGCAATATAGTAACAGCCTTAATGATACATTTTGTGTTTTATACAGCTGTTCTGAGCTATGTCCTCAATGTTTTAACACATTTATATTCATTACTGTCTTCAAACAGAACCTTTTTATTGATTTGTTTTGTTTTTGTTTGTTAATTTTCCTGCATCATTTTTTTCCCGAGCTATACCAGGCCAACTGCCCAGGCCTTTCACAGGTCTGTCAGAAATGCTCATTCCAAAGCATAGCAAAAAGCAGTATATCTCTGAAGTGGATTGCAATGAACTAAAGGTAGAGTCATGTTTTAGAGAAAAATTGACACTGGGATTACATAGGTGTAACCCTTTGAGAACTATTGGATCAGTTTTCAGAGTCCGATGGATGCTAACCTGGGTTGCCATGAAATTACAGGACTGGGCAGATGTGGTATTTGGAAATACAGGTTAAAATACATTCAGGTTTTTAAAGCAGATTTCCTGTGACTGCAAGTAAAGGTTTTTAGTTACTTGCATTATTGGTAAAAAAAAAAAAAAATTTTTATAAAAAAAAAAAAAAATTTTTATAAAAAAAAAAAAAAATTTTTATAAAAAAAAAAAAAAATTTTTATAAAAAAAAAAAAAAATTTTTATAAAAAAAAAAAAAAATTTTTATAAAAAAAAAAAAAAATTTTTATAAAAAAAAAAAAAAATATTTATAGCAAATAAATAAGAATTAAACTATATTTGCCAGCTACTTTCTGGTTAAATAAACCAAATTTATTTTAATAATGTCTAGCACTTAGACAGGATTTTTGAACCAGCTACAGTTTTATAGCTTACACATATTGAAATTCTGTTTTAAACTATGTTGCATGATAATTCAGTTTGCCTTGGTACATGAATACACAAAGGTAGAGTTACAGTAACAAAGGAGAGCTAAAAGTGATGACTCTGACGTTGCATGAGTATTCTCTGGTGCATTACGTATTGCATGTTCACCATAGTTCTCAAAGGGTTAGTCAAATCTTTGGCATTTAGCCGTACATTAAATCACTGACAGAGCCAAGGGACCACCAAAGCATTTTGTCATCTTGTGTAATTTGTGCTAATAGCAGTATTGTCATTTTCATGTGACCTGCAGAGCAGGTTTGTATCAATATTTTTTTCCTAGAGAAAAGTCACCAACTGACAGACCTCTTTATTGATTTTAAGAGCTGCTTCTTGCAGTGATAGGCTTTACAGTCGCTGGGCTGTGAACTTATTAAAGATGGTCAGAACGAATGCACCCCATGAGTCAGACACCTGGCTTTTTATGAAAGCCAGGATTTGAGGGGAGTAGCTTTTGAAACAATGAACAGCTTGCCTTGAACTTGATTATTGATCTGTTGACTGTCATTACCATGTTAAACATTGTCTTCTGTGAACAGATTCACTGTCTGAATTTCCTTAAAGTGTACCATCCTATGTCTTTGCTCTTTGACCTTTAACTTGCTAACTGGCACAAACTGAAGGGAATCTGGTGTTACAAATCAGTTTTAATTGTTTTTTTCTTTTTAAAAAGCCTGATATTCATTATCCAAGGTTATAGAAAGCATTGAACTGTTTTCTTAGAAAAGGAAGTGACAGCAACAAAAAAGTTATGGTAGATCTGTAGATGGATATTTTGCTATGTATACATGCACACTCTAAAAATGAGCTACAGTAGAAGTGAATTTTTATTAGCTTGAATACAATTTTCAGTATAAAATGAGTCATTTCTACAAATAAGTAGTTATTAATGACAAACATATAGGAAAAATACTAAAATACTTGAAACAGTCAGCACTGGCTTTTACATAAAACAAAATTTTTATACTAGAGTCAACCAATTTCTTACTGATTTCCTAATCTACATTACTAGATCATTTTTTAGAGAGTGTAGGTATATATACATATATATATATTATTATTATTATTTTGGTAATGGATAGCTTGACTGCCTTGAATTTATATTTATATTGAGCATAGCATGAAAAAATAGTATGCCTTTTTTGTTCAATTACATGATTTGATTTTGATTTGAGGACTTATTTTAAAATCATGTGTGGCATGCTATAAAGCATTGCAAACTGTTATTTCTTAGAGCATAAACAGATATATGTACGTACAGCTAAAAAAATGAACAGTTAGAAAAGAGGTATAGTTTTACAGTAAATATGCAATGCAGGTGGCATTATGGAAATGTTTTGTAGAGGTACTGTATACTGTATGTTAGAAGTGCCCCAGTATCAGCCCATAGCATTGCTGCCCTAAATCCATTTCAGTTGTTGCTGAAAATTTAGAGTTTAGTCATAGTTACAGAGCATAGGATAATATTTACTGCACATCAGCTCATTCAGTAAATTCAAAAGACTATGCCTGTCTGTCATATATTTTTAATCCACTAAGTGACTTGTGTTGTCAGCAAACAGCTATAAATTTATGTTCTGCTACAGACAGAACAAAATAATTCATACTTTTCCTGATTTTGCCCCTTGGATAGTTGGTGGAAAACACTGACAAAAGTATTTAATCTGCATTTGATTTTCCTCTGCAATAGGAAAACTAAACAATGTGATATTATCTTTAAAACAGAACAGCATTTTATCTGTTTTCTGACTCACCTGGAAATTTCACTTCATTTTCAAAGTCTCTCTCATGGCAGCTTTGACTTTTTGTGCAACTATTTCCCTGAGGATAATGAAGTACTGAGCATGTTGACTTGTACATTGATAGGGTAACAAAAATGTTTGTATTTGGAGAATTTAACTTACAGTAATTATGCAGAAAGGTAAGTGTGATAATCTAGTGCTTGGTACAACATAGATACATGGATGCATAATAACTTGATTCTTCAATCTATTTTCTTTTACTTAAAAGTGCATATATATATATTATATACAGAGAGAGGGATAATAAGAGCACTGTACTGGCATGTTTATGCCATGCAGGCTAAGGTTGTGTCAGCATTTCTATGGTATACTTCTATTTTCAATAGGTTATAACACAGCCATTAAAATTTGCTTCAGGCTTAAAAATCTAGGAGTAATTTGTGTTTGGCCTAGTATCCGAAATATGTGTGTGGTTGTTTTAAATTATAGGTGTTCAGCACAAATAAATTTTTTTACTGGGTTTAGTTTTGAACTTGTATAAGTCAAAAATAGTTTATAATTTAATAAAATGAAATCTGATAAACAGTCAGGACCCAATAGAGTCTAGAATTATTAGCATCAGTGGGGGAAAAATAAAATACCTGCTTTGAGTTCTGAAATTCTGGTTACTGGTCATGTTCAGTAACATTTTTCGTAATGTTTTTAATAGACATCTCCATATTAATATTGTTACAATCCATATTGTGAATAACTACAATATGAAAAATGGGTTTTGTCAATCTGCTACAGGCTATTAAACTGAATGTAGTAGGTTGCTTAAATCTGGAGTCCAATGTCTGTGTTATGCAGGAGGTCAGATGATCATAATGGTCCTTTCTGGCCTTCTAACCTATGAATTTATGAAAAAAGTTATTTACTATATGCAGAAATTAACTTTTACCAGAAAAGAAATTTAAGAAAATATGTACGCCAATGTTTACTTGATGGGCTGGAATGGAGATTCAAAAGGGATCCAAAGGAGCCCTTTCAAATTTCCTGAATAAATACAATACACATTTTATAACTTCCTATGGACATTTTATCTTTATTTATCTTTTTCAGAGAAGGGTTGGGGGATCATGTTATAAATCTTAAAAAACAAAAGAAGAAAAGGTTTAGGTTATGAAACAAATGACAAGAGCTAGGAAACTTCAAAGTTAAGAGCCAGACTCCCTTTATCTCATAACTTGGTTTATGTTTTACCCTCCTCCCAGAATCCCTATCCCAATAAGAATAAACTATAAGATTTAACTTCAATTTCCTCAGCTTTTTGTTAGCTTATGTCACAGTTAGTTAAATGTAGCCTTTGGTACCTAATTATATCGAATCAAATTCTGGCTTGTTGGTTGGAAAAAGTGCATAGAGCAGAAAAGTAGATCTGCCTAGAAGCAATGAAAGCATAACATTTTTATTTAGCTTTTTTCACATTTGCATTCTTGGTGGGGCAAGGCTTGAAAAGACGCATAACAGACTCGGCAGTGCATGCTCCGTACATTATGCATTCAACTGTCACATGCATGATAAAATAAATTGAAACCATCACAGTAGGACCAGACTAAAGCACAATCTCAGGGGTCTCTCTGCTGCAGACCCACATCCCATGTAAATTCAGGCTTGGCCTATCTGCTAGTTTGGCATTGGGTCCAGAAATGGATGATGCTGTGTTGAGGCAGAACAACTTCATTCACCCACCCAAGAAGACAATAAAAGGAACCAACAACAGGACCGGCTGTTTTCTACATTTATATGTGACCTTTTGGGTATGCTACTTAGAGTCCCACAAACAAATGACTGCAGCACCATCAGCTACCTAAAAAGGCATCCTTAGAAAGGGCAGCATGGCCAAATGTCTAACTGGAGGTCAAATTAGGGTGTAAATCATATTGTTCCCAGACATATACCAAGGAACTGATAGTCACAATTAGTGATACAGCAAAATCATTATTGACACACACTGTAACACTGAACTTTATTAGTTCACAGTATGCTGCTTGTAGTGGCATAATAGTGGCCGTTTAAGATGAGGCTGATCCCCTGGAGTGAATGCATACACACACACAACCTATATAAAAGTAGCAACCATAGCATACTCAGTGTAGATCAACAGAGCTTTTCTTATTATGCTCCTATTACTAAACATCATGATAACACATGATCATTTTTCATTTGTCTTTTTCATTCTTGTGTCCTGCCTAATAGTTGGCACAAAGGTTGAGCTGATATGGAGAGGCATTGGTATCAGTTGAGGTGTTGCACCCCATAACCAGTATTAACAGTCATGATCAGTACGTTACCATCAATAGGTTCATGTAATAGCCGACCCCAGGGCACCTTCTACTGTGACACAATGTAGAAACTGTATGTTGCAATGTTATATGATACATATATGAATAGCTAAGAAAGCTCACTGACGATTTGAGTTCCAGATGCCTGAGGAACATTAGTATGTCACTATTGTAATCACTGCCTTATCTTACCACTACCTAAGACCATTGTTCCAAAGTTAATCATAGAAACATGCTTAGGAAATACCTCTTTCTCCTAATATACATAAGTTTTAGCATATCGGCTACCAATTGTTGTCACTTTGTTAATGTTTGTGAATGCAAAGTGAATGCAAAATTATTAGATACAGCATCCCCTGGCATGGAACACACACTGAGCACAGGCATGGTATTGAAAACCTTATGCACTGCTGTAGTCTTGCAGTGTGTGATCAAGGAAGTGCTACAGAATGATGAAACTGAACACACCAGTAATAGCTACTGAAACAAGTATAATTACTAGAGAGTACTAGCTATACCTGCCTATTCATGCACTGCAGTGTAGAAAGGATGCCACAGGAAAAACACACACATGGTAACTCTTATGTACTACTCTTTCTGCCTAGAAAGCTATGCAACATGGCTTCATAAGCTTATGCATAATGGCAGCATCCACAGATCATTATTGGGATGAGCAATCCAGACTAACCATGGAGTTTTGATTAGTCAGTAGTAATCCTGACCTTGTCAAACTACAAGATCTCATATTAAAAAATGGCTGTTCCATGGCATCAGCAACAGTGGCATGTAGCCACTCAGCATGTCTTTGTTTCCTTTTCCTTAATGTTTGGGTGGGGTGCAAACCTGAATTTAGCATCTCTCATCAGTCAGTTCTTGCAGTTATAATGTACAATGAACAGTTGCTTCTATTTCATTAAATGATACTAATATATAAAATAATACTACTTATTAAATGGCCTGTCCCCCCAGTGCAATCTGCAGCAACATCCTTTCACATCCTTTCAAGTGGTCTAATAAATAAATGCCATTTATGCTTTCCCTTTGTATCAATATGGGGATGTGTTCAGATATCCATGTAACAGCTCTGTATGCTACACGCCAGAAAAAAATGAGTTATCAGTGTCTGATAATACATCTCATCTCTCACCCATTAGGAACACTATACTTTCAAATCAGTCCCCTGCTAATAGAAATTAAACGTTTACAAAGGATAGTGAGTCACATTGTACAGTCACATTTTTTCTGATACTAAAATCTCATTGCATTCACATACTAAAGCTCTACATTCATGACATAGATAGTTGCATATACTGTACTCCCATCAGTTATTAATCATGTATATACTGTAGTGACCCTTAATAGGTAGTTTGGCACCACCATGACAAAGAGCCACACTACCTATGCCTATGACGAACCAGTTTGTCATGCCTAATTTGAGATGAAGCGTAGTGGTCAGCAGTATATAGTAATTACTAATAGTGCTCACACTCTTGTATGGAATGATACCTGGGCATATCTAAGTAAGTGCTATTAGAAAATGGCATACATTGAATTTAAGTGCAAACTAGTACACCCACCATTTGTTCTTTTCATAGCTGTTGCAACATAAAAATGAAAGCTGACCTGCTGTTCCTGATCACATTATCTCAGCAATGCCAGTAATGTTTGACTCCTTGTTTACAGTCCAATAAAAGATATCACCTACAAAAATCCTTGCTTTTTGCATGTTTTCTGGAGCACCAAGGCTAGATCACTCCAACATGACCACTCTTTGTTTATGTCAGGTGTCTGAGTGTATAAAAAGGATAAGTGTATTAGGATGACAATCACAATGGGATTCATTCCAGAAGACGTCAATGGCCAGTAGTGCTGTTGTGATCATATGCTACCTTAACTGTCATGATGAGACTACATTTCATATATGTGTGATGTAAATTCTGGTTTCTGTCTACATATCTAACTGCTCCTTAATGAAAGCATATGAGCAACTGATATCAAACCATGGCCATGCCCCTAAAGCTAGACACTACAAAGTTCAGTGCCCTACAGTGGCCACTGTTGGTTATTAATATCTGTGGTGACTTGAATTGGAAGTAATTGAGGTAATATTATTAAAATCATGTTAGCATCATTCTCATGTTAAACACTGATACACAATTTGGATAAGATTCCAGTTTTCAAGAATTCCACAGTGGTATCAGACATCTATTCAATATTTATCCAGTTGACATTGCTTTATTTCTATAACACTCTTGGTGAAACATCTACAACTAACGTTCACTCAATATTACTGTCTTATTTGTGGCTGGATGGAAACAAGCCTATAGACTTATACCAGTGTCTACATACTCATTGTACAAAATATGTAGCCCCTTATTTTTGAGGGTGGTAGTCCTTGGTTCACAATTGTGATGAATGCAGTTATTCACCTTCACCCTGAATTAATCTATTCATGAACTGTTTCTTCCATTATTGCCAGTGTCCACAGCTGACTCAAACAGGCATTCATTCAGTTCAAAAGATGATGACAGACATAAAAGTATTAGCATGGGCACCCAATCATTATGCTTCTCTAGGAGAAGATACCAACCAGCAAAAAGAACAGTTTATCCCCCTGCCTGAAACCAGTTTGACAGGAATAAAGAAACCTCATTTTAACTATGCCCAGAGTTGCCTTCAACCACTGCCTTGAAAATTTTATATAAAATGTATGCTAGAGAAAGTCTACTAGAACATCAGTATCAAGTTATTGAGTAAGGGCCTAATAATCTCTTTTTTAGGCTTTATCACTAAGCAACAATGGGCACCAGCAACAATGCCTCCAATATTGTTCCCTCTTGATGTTATTAACCATGAAGTGAAAAGGTGGCAGCAAGCCCAAGGGCTCTTTAACACATTTAGCATAAAACTGACTGAAAATGTACTAGAGAGAACTTGTCATTTATCCACTCCAACCACAGATCTTTCCATATAGATTTGATCAAGCCAATTTTAATCCAAGTTTTAAAAAAAACTTGTCATGGTGAGGAGCACTTGACTTAAGTATGTGCAAGCCTCTCATCCATTGTTTTTCTCCAATGTACTTTTCTACAGGTTGGGTGATTTAGCTAGAATAGTAAGACCCAACCTGTTAATTACATAGATTTGGTGGAGGAAATACAATTTTACTATTTGGCCATACAGAGGGAAAAAAAAGCCTGTCAGATAGAAATCAATTTTTTTGGTCTACCAGGAGTGTAATGGTTACTCTTGTTATTCAAGCACACACTGTGTACAAATTTAAAGCTTCCACGCATTTTCCACTGCAATGATGCTACACAATTCAACACTCCAAACATATCCATGTGTTATGGTGCCACGTTTCTTATCTCCTGGTCAGATTTATTACATCTGTGGATTCACAATCAGAGTCAAACACCCAAGTATTTGATCATGAATGTTAATATCTGTTGGCAATTCTCATTTTCTAAGCCATTCTAAAAAAAAATGTCTTGTTCATGTTACATTAGCCATCGCAGAGTGGATTGCTATGCTTGGTTTCACACACCTTTTGTTAATGATGCTAAGGCAGCAGCATATTGTTTTGCTGTCAGTCAATTGTGGTTCACTCATGTCAGGTCTTGTGTTTGCTGGCCAGTCCAGAAGGCTGTATTTCAACAGTGCTCACATTCCTTGTGGCTCCATTCATTGGGTTTAACCTTTCTTCCTTGCACTGTCTTTCCTTCTGTGCTAGGTCCTGATGCCCATCAACTGTGTTGAAGATAGGCAATCTAAAATGTTGTGACAAATTGGTTCATTCATACACATCAGCCATATTTGTTTCAAGGTTAAGCATATTGAGCAACATTATTAGATGTAAAATGCTTTCCTGTCTAGGCATTTTGTTTTCTAATCCCTAGTAATTCATACTTGATAACATTCTTATGCACATCTCTCTGTGACAATTGCTACCACACATAAGGGTTCAGGACACTGGCAATGTTAACTTGCAGCTTTCAGGGACGGCCATGTGTCTGGATGTTGTAGGTCTATAGTGTGACAGAAAAGTTTCTGGATGCACAGGGGCTGGCTTTGCACAGGAGGTTGTCAGTCAGGGTTTAGCATGTATTTATATGATAGGTTTGCATTGTTTTGCATACTCTTTTTGTATCTACTGCTTGTTCCTGAATGGCATCCTGCTTACGCTGCAAGCTTTCTGCCCTGCTGTCTGTCATAACTTGATTGCCTCTTCAGTTCTGGTTGTTGCATGTTGGGCTGATCTTAGCAGCTTTTTAGCTTTCCATCTAGTTCCTATTAGCTGCTCTTGCTTCAAAAACTGATTCGGCCCTGGCACGTTAAGTACTGGTTACTATTTCTTTCTGTGTTGTGGTATGTTTTCTTTACTCCGTCTCTGAGACAAAATTAGCAATCTCAGTGAGGTTTTCATATGTGGACATGGCTTTTGGTATGGTTAGGACAGATTTGCATGTATTTTTACATATAACATAATCCACATTTGAATAAACCATGACTCTTTTCAAGCTCTGCTCTCTGACCCACACAGCAGTTGATCAGATAATTTTACAAAATCCTGCAAATATTTCAGAATATAAACATAATGATTTCATAGCGTGCTGCACATTTTCTCACCATATTCTTTTTTGCTGCATTGACACACATGCATTCCATGCCAGAATTTGCCTCATTATGTGCGTTAGCAAAAAAAGGAGCTGGAGCATTTACTGGCTTTTCGCAACTAAATTTCATCTTATTATATTATATATATATGTATTTTTTTGGTTCACACAGCATTCTATACAGTAACTTTTTTATAACTGGCATATGTTATTCTTTCAGGTAGCTTCTACTGACAAACACAAAGCTTGTTTGTGTGCAAATGCAAGGCTGACTAAATGGTGCTAAAGTGTATTATGACTGTCAGATATAATCAGGCAAAATTTTGTGGTGCTTAGACTGATTTTTTTCATTGATTTTATTAATCAATGCATTGAACAGTGTTTTATTATACACAAGTTGTCTTTTATTAGTAAATCAAGGCCTCATAGTGCATTGTTAAATGGGTTAATTAATCTACGTAACAGCTCACCAAGCTATTATCTCTTTAACTCCTTATAATGTTGCATCATTAAAGGTCAAGGGGTCATGATATTAATCGCATTGCTGTAGACCATTAACATGACTGAACATTTTCAACAAAGAACTTATGTTTACAATGCTAGAACCCTTTGACTGCTGGGGCAACATTTAACCACAAAAAAGTCACATGCTAGAATCATCACTATGGTTCTTGCCATGGCAATCAAAGAGTTAAGGGCTGTGCAGTGATTTGTTTTATATTTATTAATTTATATTTATTTTTGTTTTCATTTGAGGAGGGGGGATTGGGGTAGGGCAGTTCTTGTCTGCTGTAAGTGTCTTAACCAAGGGGAGGGGTAAAATGGCTTTTTTATACTATTGCATCTTATGTACTTACCATCGTTTCATTGTGTTGTAATTAAAAAAAAATCTGTCAATAAATAAGAAAACAGAAAAAAAAAACCCGTTTCTTAAAGGCATTGTGTTTTTATTAATTCTGTATTACTCTGTGTAGTTCCATTACCACTCCTTAGGTCCCATATGGAATTGCAGCCAACCACAACACCAAGGAAGAAAAGGAAGCAGACAGTGATGCCACTTAAAGATCCCCTGTTTGTCTCTGCATGCAAACTGGGAAGAACCACTTAATTTTCTAACAAAAGCTGAAAAGGAAGCATGAGACAGAGGATAAGAACACATTTTTTACAGAGAATAAGAACACATTATTAATGGAGAGATTATGATAACATCCTGTGGGCCTTTAGTTATAACCACCATAAAAGTTATATAAAAGAGCTGATTTTTTTCAATTTCCTGGGTGAAAGGAAGAAAAATACTAGGATCAGTGTAAATGAAAAATGGAGTCTAATTGTTCAGATTGGGGGAAATAGCTGAAGAGACTTCTACCAGGCCACTGCTTTTCCTGAAATAGTTTTCATATGGGGGAGTATTCATATATGCTCATGGGTCTGTAAATAAAATGTGGTGAAGGCACTGGATATATGAGCTCTTGTAACATTCAGACTAGGGGCTTGATGTGGTCTAGGTTCCTCCTGTGTCACCAGAAATGTATTTCTTTTCAGGTCATAAGGAGTTGAAGAATGTGATGTGTGTGCATTCAAACACATTTCCTTTGGGAAGCCAGGAACATAGCCAAAACGATTGGAAACAAGCTGAAGGGCTTTAGTACTTCTAAAGCTTGAGAGTTTCTGACAGTTGCAAGAGGAGTTTTGTCAGGGGATGATCCAGCACTGCAGAGCAAACTCCAACCAAGTCTCTGACCTACCACAAACCTCATCACTTTTCATTCTAGATGGGAAACACAGCTGCTTGCCTCGTTCTTTGCTAATATTATTTTTTAAATCCATGCATGGTTTTTCCACTTCAGGAAAATGAGAGAGACAAAGAATGAACCTGGTGAATAGATGCTGATCATGTCACTCAATACTGTATAAGAAGGTGTTCACATACCACAGTAATGAGCACAGTATAAATCCATAGAAAAATAGAGAGAAAAGTCATTATTGGAGCTGAATCTGGAAAGAACCTGATAAATGGAACAGCAATTATGAATAGAATGACAAGGAGAATATTGATGCTGAGGTTGCTTAAACTCAAATCTTTCAAAAACAAAAGGCTTTTGGTTAATTTAGGACATCAAAAGCTGAAAAGCTTGTTAGTAACAAGTCCAGTGAATCATAACAGAAGAGTGCTAATGTGTCAGTTAAGATTCCAAAAATTGTTTCCAGTTGTATCTTGTTTTTATATGCTTATTATTCTCAGAAATATTCATTTTTTATGGTTGAAATTTTGCAGAGTCAAGTAAGACTTGATTTTGGGCAAATATAGGAGTTTGGTCTTCAGGAATTGCTTCTTCTTATAAAGTTTAGGTCATCTAATCAGGAGATAGAAACAATACTCTGTGATGTAAGTGATCCATCAGATATCATGTATTGTGAGTAACAAATATTTATAGTGACACCTTACCGACAACCCAAGGGCTACTTGTTCAAACAATTGCAAACAGTGAATAAATCCATAAAAAACACAACCTGTCCATGAATAATTTGCAAAGGGCTAAATTTACTGGGTAAATTATTTATTAGAAGTACTTCCTCCAGCTCTACAAAGAATACAATTGCAAATGCATGACAGGAGTGTTCCAGGTTAGACATTAAATGCCTTTGCACAATTATGTGGGTGCCTGCCTGAAGAATGTCTCACTCAACTGCTTGCTCAATATTGTATTCAGTCCTTAATTTAAAAATACACACAAGCCCTTTTTTTTTTCTCTCCCACTGGCTTTATATTAGTTATTGTTAATAAATGGATATAATTTTGATACACAGGGTTTAATCAAAAATCCTAACAATTGGGACCCTCTGACTGAAGCTGGAATTTCCCTTGTGTTCGGAGTATTTTGTTGGTCACCACTGCTGCCTTAAAAACAAGTGATAGTCCCACAGAGAACGGCTGAGCTGTGTACTGACTCATTGTCTGCAGTAGTTCCCACCTGATGTAGCTACCTACCTCTGTCCTCTGTAGAGGACACAGAAAACAGGAGGTAATGAGTAGAGAAAAAAATCAAAGTGAAAAGCTTGTATGCACAGGGAAATGTAGTCTACACCTCTCTGGACTATGTCCCCCAAAAGAGGTCCATTCAACATTTATTGAAAAGACCCTAATGAGATCAGATCAGGATGTAGCACTTTTTCATTTCAACTTCCTCATCCACATACAAGTCTTTTGTTTAGTAACTAAAATGCAGGTATTATAAATGCACCCAACTACTTGGAGATGTATGGTAAAAATGCATCCTAGAATGAAGAGTACATCCAGAGGTTATATTGTTTTTTGAGGTATTTTTATATGAATATTTGGTTCCTGGAAAGCTTCCAAGCTGAAATGGTCATCTGTACCACTGCACTGTTCAATATATTGATGTGAAATTTGGTTTGAAATTTATTCATCCCTTCACAAGTCACTGCAAGAAACACCTCCTAAAGAGCATGTTTAATTGCCCAGATGTTTGTACAAAATTACTGTCATTAATCACAGTATTGATTATGTTTCTTCTGTTTTCTAGCATTTTTCTATTTTTAAATGTTTCCCTGAAGTGACATGAGAGGCAGCCTTGTTATCCGTGACTTGCTAGTCTGTTTTCTAATTGATAGATAAAAGATTCATTCTGCACTGTTTAAATCTGCCTCTTGTATTGTAGTTTGTAGATATTCTTTGTTTTAATTTTAACACAGAGCAGGTTATCCACACCATCATGAGTGACAGCTATGATTCTTCTGCTTCTACATGAGGAAACAATTCCTGGCAGCATCCTACTGCATATCCTTGTTCCTAGTCATTTTTCTCTGGTTTGCTCAGGTTAGAAAGTAGCACAGTACAAACACTTTCTACTCACCTTGTTCCTTTTCCAAGGAAGTTCTATATCCTCCACCTAGAATTAGATCAACATGGGAAATTTAGACTCAGCACTGCAGTGCGTATTTTTAAGTGCCCTATCACCTGTGCTCTTGTGTGTTCGGTTGGCTGTGTTGTGCAGTGTAATAGTTAGGGGAATGCCTAGTTTATTTTACAAGACCATATGTTAAACACCTAGGGTCAGATCCAAATTATTCCTAAATAAGAAGTGGACAGAATTTAGCATCCAGCCCCTACGTTACCACACGTTCACCTACACATATATAGACCCTTCTCCAGTGGCGACAACAACCACTTTAGTGCCTACGTGTCTCAATTAGTGCTGAAAATTTCTCTAGATGCATAAATTTAGGATTCTGAGCATTAGAAATTATCCAAATCAAGGTACATAGGTACCTAAGCCCATTGCAATCCAGATCAGAGCTAGCAGGTGCTTAAAAACAAATAAAATCCCTCATCTAACAGACATCCATAGAGCACACCTATTGACTGACTGACTCCAACAGCACTGGGTTTAGTACAAAACACAGCATGCACAGGCACTTTCACTTGGAAATTCATCTAGGTACACACATTTTACACAATAGTCTAATAATTAGAGCACTTATCCATGAAGTGGGTTTTAGACCAAGCTCAGCCTCTAATGGCATTCAAATTCACAACTTCCACTTACAGGGAGAATGCCCTAATCAGCAGAGGTATGACAAGCAGTGTTTGTGCCCTAGGCAAACCCCATGGTAGAGGGAGACAGCAGGGTGGGAAGGGGTGCCACTGCATGCTGGAAGAGAGGAGGTGCCAAAAGCAGGAAGCCTGAGGTATCTCACCTACTCTGGGGAACCAGAAACAGTCCCTGGCTGCTGTTGCCATGTCATGGTCTGCACACCCCACTGCTGCAGCTGCTGTGTTGTGTTTGTCTGCCCAGCTACTGCTACAGTAGTAACGCCATGGGGCTGCTTCTGGCTCCAGCATGTGGACTGCACCATTCTAGAGCCCCTGTAAGTTGGCACCTGGGCTTGGTGCCCTGCATGCCCTCAATTACACCACTGCGTAATGATGGAAAAGGTTGGGGACCCTTCCTGTTCCCAGCTAGGAAGCAAAGAGTGCAAGAGTCTCAGGACCAAAAGGCAAGCAAGAAAGGAACATGACTGTGGTCTAGTGATGAAAGCACACCTTTGGTAGGTGGGACATCTAGGTTCTAGTCATTATTTCAAGGGCTATTTCTGCATTTTAACCAATGACTATCTAATATAAATTGTGTAATTATATCTGAGAACAAAGACCAAACCTCCCTCCTCAAAAACACATACAACCTCAAGGTATGTGTATCCTTATCCCTGGGTTGCAGCATCACATTCCCCTTCTCTGTTTGACCCCATGACTCCTTCACTTTTAGTATCCAGTTGACAAGTTTTGCATTGTAATAGTTAGGCAGAATATCTAATTTGTGAATCCACTGGAGCTTAGGCTTGAGATAAATGCCCAGCAATGTGTTGCCAGGAGCAGCAATTCCTCTAACAGATATGCCTCCCTTTCGTTTCTGCTTGTTTCGACAGGCTGCTGTGTCAATGCCCATTTTACTACCTAATGATATTGTGGGTAGTACCACACTACCTAATGATAGGTCTGAAGCTTCTCCCATCTTAAATAAGGTTATGTTCAGCCATAGGCCTACCGGTATCTCAGTATAACTATTAATGCTCAAGGCGATTATTTTAAGTAGGGTGTAGTTTGTAAATCTGCTTTCTAAATACAGATGATAAACTGCTGAAAATGTATGTGTCTAGTGAAGCTTCTGACATGTATTGTCTAATCTGTGCCCTTAGAAACTGGTTAGTGTTAGGGTAACTGTATTTGGATCTTGGGGAGCACTGGATTTGCAGCTAAATAAAGGCTTTTTTCTGGTCTCAGCAAAAGCTGCTGACCACAAGGCAGAATGATGAATTAAAATAACCTTGCAAATGCTTAAGGAAGTACTTTTCTAACAATGAGATAGTGTGTAGAATATATGGTGTAAGAAGAACAACAACATGCAGCCCACCAGCTATCATCAGGAGGTAAAGCAAAAGCAAGACCCTGGAGATGAAGGAGGAGTCAGCAAGAAAACAGAAAAACCCAGTGAGTAACCAGAGAAAGCTGGAGTCAAAGTCTTAGGCATGCACTCTTAGCAAATAAATGAGGCATATAAATGAGTGAAATGCATAGGCAATCCCATGCTAATGAAGTAAAC